GGTTACTGAGTTGATCGCATTAACTGCTGCTTGACTATCGGATAGGATGGCAATTTCCAGTTTTCGATAGTTCCTATCTAAGATAAATTGTACGCATCTTCCGATAGCGTAAATTTCTGCCTGAAGGATACGAGGGTAGGTGCCCATTGGTTCGGAGTATTTAGTTTTCGGCCAAAATACTCCTATCTCTGTCCCTACTTTGGTTTTGGAAGCATCAGTATCCCACGTGATGGTATGGTCTTTCATATGCTGAGTAAGCGTTTCTTTCTTCCAATCCTTTTTATTACTCAATACTACAGTAAGGTGTTTCTCAAAGTTGTAAATTCTTGGTATGTCATCCACTGGGAGTTGGAGAAGTGGAATTTTCTTTTTGAGGGTGTTCCAAGCCCCTGACCTGAAAATTCTCCCAGTACTGTTTCCGTCAATGACCATTCTAATAATTGTCGCATTGGCATAACTACCGACGACAATATGCAGTGGTGTTGGGTCTAGAATGACCTCCATTGCTGCTGTTGGACATGTTCTCATGGCACCTGTGATGCAAATACATGCCAGTCTCTGTACTTTGCACAGGTTTTGCCTTGCTGTACGTTGCTCTAGTTTTGTATACCAAGCACCTGCTCCATAAGTAATCATGGGTCTTACTATCATGGTATACATCCAGCGCAAAATGTTAGGGGCGCAGCCCTACCTATTTCCCGCAAGTCTTCTGCATATCATGAGAGTCTTTATGGCTTTGCTGGTAATGTTCTTAATATGCCTGTTCCAGAGAAATTTAATATCCGCGGTTATTCCCTGTGATGGCAGTTTACTTCCTGTGATGGCAGTTTACTTCCTGTGATGGCAGTATTTCCTTTCCATCTAGATGGATTCTTTTCAAGTTTTTCAAACTTCGCTTTCTGGTGAATGGCACTACTGCGGATTTATCTGAGTTAACACTCAGCCCGACAGTCCTGCACCACCTCTCAGTGATGCGGAGTCCTCTTTGGATAATATCACATAGGGTGCCTTCATGTTTCCCCCGTGCAATGATGACTATGTCATCTGCATACCCTATGCAGTGTATTCCCGCTAGAGTTAATTCTTCCCGCAGTTCATCCACTACCAAGCTCCACAGTAGGGGGGAGGTCTCTCCACCTTGTGGAGTTCCTTGCGTTGTTTTAACAACTACAGTTTTGGTACCTATCTCAGCCTCTACTGTTCGTGTTGAGAGCATTTCCCAAAACCAGCGAATTATCGTACTGTTCACCCCTCTTGTTTCAAAAGATCGCTTGACCACCTTGTGAGGTATATTGTCAAACGCCCCTGCAATGTCCAAGAAGGCACAAAGTGCTGTTTCTTTGCTATCGAGGCTTGCCTGTATTAGCTCAGTTAACTGGTACAGAACAATTTCTGTGGATCTGCCAGCTCTATATGCATGCTGACTATCGTGCAGTGGTTTAACCTGTAGATGATTTACTCTAATATGATTGTCCACTACTTTCTCCATCGTTTTTAATACGAACGATGTGAGACTAATAGGCCTAAGCGATTTGGGGTTAGCCCAGTCAGTTTTGCCTATTTTGGGTATGAAGATGACTTTCGCTCTTCTCCAGATGGTTGGTAGGAGGAGGTTAGGGAGGTTAGGAAGCTGAAACTCGAAATGTTCTCTTCGAGCCACATCTTTTCATGGTATTTTGTACACTATGAAACTACATCCTCAATGGCGAAAAAATCGTCCGATTTAATGGGCCTTCGAATCATGCCATGCAGTCTAATTACAACCTAATAGCATTAACTTGCAAAAGTTTTAAATAAGTACTCATTGATTCCTCATAAAAAATTTCCTATAAACATGGAAATGCATAATTATAGAGTTACAGGATGTTATAACATTTTAAAATTAGTTTTTTTGTAATCTAAAATACCTTAAATAATAATAAGCTTAAATACCATTATTTTTTTATTTGAAATTGCTCTAGGTTGTACAAATAGTAATAATAACTAATAGTAAAAATGTTTAATAATAAATTATGTAAAACATTTATAATTTATTAATTTTATTCTTAATTTTATTAATTGTGATTAATAAAATTTCGTTTATATCATGAGAGAGGCCGAATTGGAGAAAATATCAAGAGATAACTTTTAATTGGAATTAAGCGGCCTATTCAATTTTGATGGCCTATACAATTTAGATTTTGAGCTTCGATTGTTAAAAAGAGGATTTTCTCATTACGTGAGACAAAAGAGGACAGCGAGATCAAAAAGAGGACTGTTCATTGGAATAGAGGACGGTTGACAACCCTATCTATACCCAAGTAGCATTTTCACGACTTGCGACCACATGTTTACTAAACACAGCGTTGGGTTAGTTCCAAAAAATAGTTAGCTCCCTACCTTGGGTATTAAAATAAATTTAAACGTTTTTATAACGTTGTGCCGACGTTGGACTAGTACTACAGCAAAGTAGAAGCTTCTGCGACGTCGAATAAACGTTGTCTTGTAACCTTTTTTTGCTTAAGTGATCTTTAGGTGATTCGGACAACGTAGTTACAACGTTGGACAATATAGAGTTTTCCGACGTCAGTTTCAGGACCTATTCCAACGTTATGCAAACGTCGTCTGTTTTACTAATTCCAACGTTGTTTAGATTTCCTTATTCTTACGTTGGTAGGACGTCGAGTCACTACCTTTTTGCAACTGTATTGAACCATAACCTTAAATTTTAAATCTTCACTTCATTGTTCTGTTCAGTCAGACAGTTCAGTGCTGTTTTTGTTTTTATAAAAAAACTTAATTAAAATGGGACATAAGAAAGGTACATATAAAACTAAATTTAAATATACATCGACATATATTACCGATAGTTTATCCACTCCCTCGTTTATTTATATTATAGAGGGCGGCACAAGCTAGACTCTAGGATGACTAAATTAGATAATCTTGCGACTAGTATACTACTTGTTAAGGCCGAACTGCGACTTTATTAGTCCAGTATGCGACTACTCGAACTACTCCATCTTAATCTCCAAAACAACAAAGTGAAAGCCGCCATGTTGTTAAATAAGAAAATGTTTCGTTCCTAAAATAGCAATTCCTGCTTTTTGAATACATTAACTTGAAATATTTGACCCTAAAAACACGCGGAAACAATTTTTTCGACTGCGAATAAATTATTCTCATTTTACTAAAAAAAAATTCAAGAAAATTTTTAAAACTTCTTTAATTTTAAGGCCCATTAGTATTTTTTAAAGTAGAAACAATACATTTATCAATAAAGTTGTTTGCGTTTAACTTTTTTGCCTTGGGTAATGAGTTACAGAGTCGGTTAAAGTGTTTCAATAATTATGATCTCAAAACATCCTCCACACTTAAATACTTTTGTATTGTTTTCTTTCACTGCCATCTGTCATATGTCTCTAACTAAATCATAAAAATAATATTTTTACTATAATTATCCCAATTTAGGATAAAACGCGACTTAGACGCCATATTAGTTTTGTATTTCTGTGAATTAGGATTTTAAACAACGTTGCAATTTGTACTAAATTAGGCTTCTAGCCAACGTCGGTATCCAACGTCGTTTCGACCCAAAAATTATTCTCCAAAGTAGTGCAGACTAGGGTTGGCACGAGGTTGTGCCGACGTTGCGCCCCGACGTTTAGTCGCGTGACACGACGTTGTCCCGACGTCCAAATGCTGCTTGGGATAGTAACATGTTGGCCTCCCACTAAGTAGTTAGTGATTAGAATTAATATCTGAAACATTTCATAAAACTCGTAATAATATACCTAACATTCATATCTCCTGTCTTTTATATATTTTCTGACACATGAAGTTGTCACGGCATGGATTAGATAAGGTTGTTAATCTCTTCTTGGGGTATTATTCTCCTACCTTTATTCTGCCACCTGAACTTTTTTACGTAGAGCTACCAGTGATTGTGGGAGGTACAGTAAATTATTTTGCATTCTTGCCATCAGATCTTAGAGAAAAGAACATTGGAGAAAAGTCTCGATATCATAGAGAATTATCATCATAATTTTCGGCTTATTTCACCATTTCCAATTATGGTGTAGCCTCTCTCACATTTTTTAAATGCTTGGCTATGCAGGCCCAAGTTATTCCTGCTAATTTCTTAATATCATGGTTCCATCAAAGAAAAAAGTCAAGTTCCTATATACATGGATATGGAAATGCATAGTTTTAGAGTTACAGAGGATGTTAAAACTTTTTAAAATGAGATTTTTTTAATTATCTTAAATACTATTATTTTTTTATTTGAAATTGCTACATATTGGAGTAATAGTAATAAAATAACTAATAGTAATAATACTTAATAATAAATTAGGTAAAATATATAATTTATTAATTTTAGTTTTCTTTTAATTTTATTAATTGTGTTAATAAAATTCCGTTTATCTCATCAAGGAGGCCGAATTCTTCAAAATATCAAGAGATAACTATTAATTGGCATTAAACGGCCTACACAATTTTGACATCAAAAGAAAAAAGTCAGTGACGCACATGTTTCTTTATGAGAAAAGAAGATTCCAGTGCACGTCCCTGGTTAATTTATCGACACTTTTTTAGCATTAAAATTACTTATAGTAACTTTTACCCTCAACTTCATTCGAATCACTTCAAGTACTTGCAAGAAAATTATAACATATAGAAAGATTATTAAGACTTTAACACCCTGTAGCTACAAAGCAAAGCAGAATCGGACCCTATGTTGATATGAAAAATAAACCTCCTTTTTACGTGAGGAATCTGAATGGCACATGCTTTTTGAAACACCCTGTATAAAGTTATACACAAGAAGAATAAAAATTAGATTTATCCCAACTACTGTATACGGATGAAAGATCAAGCATACCAAAATAAGTTCGTAAATATTGACCAAAGGTTAAAGTAAAAACATTCCTAATCCACTTACGCCAATAAAGAAGAAAAGAATAAGGGAGAAAGCATGCGCAAAATTTAACAATAACTTGAATAAAAAAGAAAAATTATTCAGAACGATTCAAGTCTGATTTAGCCACTTTATTTTTCCTGTCGCCGCATTTGATTCAGTGTAGTGTCACTATTCAACGCATCCTCGCGCTACAGTAATAAAATTGATTAGAAAATCGTACGAGTACATCCATATCTTCCCGGTACTTATCTCTAAATTACTAAATACAGCTATTAACCGCCTAAAATGTATCGTAATGTTTGTGTGATTCAAAATAGTAAACAATAAAATATGACTTCAAATATATCAGTTCTGTGATATTTTTATACTGTCTGGGTGAGTCGTTTTAGTTTCCTGTATTATAATCCGAGAACACTTTTTAAACTTCTTTTTAGAGTGAACAAAACTAGTCTTATTTATTTTATATTACCATGTCAACAAATAGTGAACAAAGTGATCAAAGTACTAAATCAAATAGTGTTAAATCTTCAAATTCAGGTGTACAGAATGGCAGGTAATAATTTTATGCGACTATATTTTCGAGATTAATAATATTCGTCATTTTAAGCTTCAGAAAGAAAAAAGTGTTGCCGGTTAAACAGTTTCAAGTGAAGGAATCATTATTAACTATTCTTTTTGATAATCCTCATATAAAAGTGGTGAAACATATATTCATTGCGTCGTTGATAGGATTGTTTGTAAATACCTGTGTCCATGATTATGTTAAAAAAGGAGAGTAAGTTGATTTTTTTATACAGGGTCCGGCAATAGTGCGTCGACCATCGGGCATCTGTAGCTCCTAGAATAAAAAACTTGAAAATTTAGTGCAAATCTAAAGTACCTATGTACAGGACGAAGGTATAGGATTTATTTCAGGAAAATATTTTGAGTGGATCGGGATGATTTTTTTTAAATTGAATACCCTGTATATTTTTGCATTTTTGGTTTAGTTAGATTTCTTTACCTTTCAGATCAGTTTACATAATCCTAAGGTATCAGTAAATATATTCCAGAGATAATAATATAATAGATAATATATACAAGGTTGTTTACCACATACGACACGGAGTATTGTAGCTAAACGATGAGATTTTTACAAATTGTAAGTTTGGGGTTCGTTGAAGGACTATTAGAGCTACAATTTAAAAATATTTTTACAAGATACAGAGTGTCCCAAATAAATAAAAAATATCAAAGTTGTATTTTTTTAAATGGAACACCCTGTATATTATTACATTTTTAGTTTCTACGATTAAAATAAGGGTAAATTTGATTAAGGTTTATTATACTTAAACCTTACCGTTTCTGAAATATTTTCAATTTTGTGAAATTGCAGTAAAAATTTTAAAGCTTCATTTCTCCAAGGGTATCAATGTTTTTAATACTAAATATTTAATGAAGTTTATTTATTGATCAGTTATTGTGTTGCAATAATAAAAATAATACTACCTTATACAGAGTGTCTAAAAATTTATTTTAAATAATTATTAGCTTCAAACGGCAATAACTTCTTTAATTTAAATAGAATGCCCTGTATATTTTAGGAGAATCAGATGCACAATTAAATTGTCTATCAAATTGTATTATACCATTTTTTACCTATCCCTTCAAGTTTTCGTAGAAAATGCATTTTCTTATAATTTAGACCTCATTTATCAATATATCCATGGAATATTGACATTTTAGATTGTTTTTAAAGAAACAAATGTACAAAATGTACAGACTTCACTTGTATGCAAAAAGAAAACTATTTAAATCTTTATAAAAGAGTATACCATTAATTAAATATAACACCATTATTTCCGCCCATATACTAATTAATTACATACTTAATTGTGTTCGTTAATAAATTATTATAAATAAATGTGGATTTGAGTCAGAAATCAATATAATAATAAGTTATCAAATTAAAGTCTCTGTTGTTATAAATAAGCATTTATTAAAAAATGAAATATCATTTTTAAGGTGTTACTTTTTATCACACTGTCTAATGCCCATACAAAATTCAGTTTTTTAGTATTTGGAGCAATTATTATTAATCAATGCAAACAGTCAGTTAATGTAGTTTGAATACTGGATCATATTAATTGGTCCTCTTTAACAAATATTTGAACAGTTTTTTTTTATTTTTTAATGAAATAAACGAATTATATCGACAATATTAGTATCTGTACTCTTTAAAAATTTGATACATCTTTAAAAATAATCTAAAATGTCAATAGTCCATGGATATATTGATAAATAAGTTCTAAATTACAAGAAAATAAATTTTCTACGGAAACTTAAAGAGATAGGTAAAAAATGGTAAATATAATTTGATAGACAATTAAATTGTGCATCTGATTCTGGTAAAATATACAGGGTGTTCCATTTAAATTAAACAAGTTATTGCCGTTTGAAGCTAATAATTATTTAAAATAAATTTTTAGACATTCTGTATAAGGTAGTATTATTTTTATTATTGCAACACAATAACTGATCAGTAAATAAACTACAGTAAATATTTAGTATTAAAAACTTTGATACCCTTGAAGAAATGAAGCCTTAAAATGTTTACTGCAATTTCACAAAATTGAAAATATTTCAAAAACGGTAAGGTTTAAGTATAATAAATCGTAATCAAATTTACCTTTATTTTAATCGTAGAAACTAAAAATGTAATAATATACAGGGTGTTCCGTTTAAAAAAATACAACTTTGATATTTTTTACTTATTTGGGACACTCTGTATCTTGTAAAATTATTTTTAAATTGTACCTCTAATAGTCCTTCATCGAACCCAAAACTTACAATTTGTAAAAATCTCATCGTTTTGCTACAATACTCCGTGTCGTATGTGGTGAACAACCCTGTATAATAATAATTTCAGAGATATTAATAATTAAATAAAAAATATATACATACCAATTTTACAACCTTCTTTAAAAAATATATTATAAATAGGTACAAGAATTAAATGATTTTTCTTTGTTTTTTTTAAGAAAGGCTGTGTTAAAAAAAACCTCTTAAACAGTCATGATTATAGACATTTATAAAAAAAATGACATAGAAAGGAAAAATTAATTAGTTATTATTATTAATTTTTGCCTTCAGACCACTATCCCCAAGAATTTTTTTCTAAGTTTTTTTTTAATTTTTTTATCTTTTTTAGCCGACCATACCAATAGGTCTGTCTGTCTGTCTGTCTGTCTGTCTGTCTGTCTGTCTGTCTGTCTGTCTGTCTGTCTGTCTGTCTGTCTGTCTGTCTGTCTGTCTGTCTGTCCGTCCGTCCGTCCGTCCGTCTGCCGTCTGTAACACGATAACTCAAAAACCGCTGAACTGATTTTAACCAAATTTGGCACAAAAATATTGTGGCACCCGAGAATCTGGCCATTAGTTTTTGGTGGGGGTGGGGGTTGGTAAGGGGGTATGGGAGGGGGTTAAAAATTTAAAAAAGTCGTAACTCCAAAATTACAGTAGCTAGCGAAACGCGGTTTTCAATTTAAGATTAGGAATAATATTTGCAACAAAATTTGTTATAACGTCAAAATCAGACAAAGTCGCAGTTTTCGAGATATTAACATATTTTAGTATGGGCGGCTATACGTGCCTCCCGCCGCCAATTTTTTTAATTTTAATATCTCTGAAACTATCGAAATATATTTACTCATATCATAGCATTGCGTAAAGTGATCTAGAAAGGAAGCCACAAATGCAATAATATACAGGGTGTTCTATTTAAAAAAAATAATCCGATCCACTCATACTTTTTTGAGCCAACCTATAGAAGTTAAAATATTTTCGTGAAAAACATCCTAGTACATACTTTACGTTTGCCTTTAAACTAAGTTCCCAAGTTTTATTTTTTATTCTAGGAGCTACAGATGCCTGACGCGTACAGTACTTATGTTTTAAAATGTTTTTTTTAAATGAAACTTTAAAAAAAAATAAAACATTTTTTAATATATTTTAAGAACCGCTACTTCGATTTGAACGAGACTTGGTGAGGCTATATTTTGGTAAGTGCCTCCACCCTTGCATAAATTTTCGTAAAAATATTTTCCGACTCCACCGACGCGCGACGATTGATTTTTATTTCGTAAATAGTCCTTCTAGTATTTACTACATTTTTTGTCCCTTAAAAAACGCCACCGCGCATAACTTTTGAGGAAAAAAAGAATGTTTCTCTGAAGCTGACTTACAAAGAATGATTCTTGTCACATTAACCCATATAGCACGTCCAAATGAAATTACGTTTCTACAAGGGAGACACATGAGAAACAACATATGTTAAAGTGAACCTAAGTGTTCATCTAGTTCTAACATATACATATGAGATACACGCAGGTTTATATTGACAGAATTGTGTGATACAGTGTTTACTAGTTGTATACCGTATGCACTCAAGGTTCTAAAGAGTTTTTTGTAACGTAACAAATAATTATTAAAATGATGAAACCTGACGTCGGTATATGAGACATACAATGTATAAGTCATATGTATGTGTGATACTTCGTATCATAGTTGTGCCTATAGTACACTCCTTGTAAAAATGTGACGTATACACATAATATAAATATCTATATAGACACTTTGTAATAGTGTACTGTTGTGTCTACATTCTAGCATGAAATGAAGGTGTGCGCATGCGCGGATGGCCTCAGCGTAGATACACCGACCAAGTGTATCTTATGTGTCCTCTCTCCTTTCTCCTTTCTAGGAGTGGTATGTGTGTGGCTAGCAGCCATTATTGTTTTATCATTCGGAAGCTCTATATAAATGTTCTGTTTGTGTGTAGTTTAAAAGAGATTTTAAGGTAAGTACAAGTTTTTAATTACCTTGTTACACCTTCCTAAGAGTATTATTAATATTATAGCAGCGAATCGTCCCTTACTCGATACCCATTTTACCAAATTTTGACTCCAATGAATGAACACTCCAAATATTCTCGTATAATGATAAAGAGGTTAGCTGAGTTAGCTCTGCAATATAATTTTTTTTAATTTAGAAATAATAAAAATCTAAATGGACCAGAGAAAGAAAGATTTAAACACTGCAAAGAACTTCTTACACTGATATTCGGTAAGTTATTGATGGATCAATATACAGATATGTTTAATATTCAATAATCAGTTTCATATAAAATTTAAGGGTGAAATTGTTAATCTGGAAATAAAATACAACAAAGTCCAACAGAGTGCTCGATGAATGAGTATGCTAATAAACCAACTGCTTGGAGGGAAAAGAGGAGAAAAATGACTAAACGAGGTCCACCAAATCGTGGCGATATACCAGTGTTTACCATTTTAGTATGTTGTTATACTAGGTACTTATATTTTTAATACATTTTGATACAAATTCTGTTCTTTTACAGTGTTTTCTTACTTCTGGTTTCTGCAGTGTAAATAATTATTATTATTGTGTTATTTGCGCTATTGCGTTCCATGATATAAAGAAATATAAGAATTTTATTTTTTAACCACTGAATCCATTTTATGGAAGAAAAATGGTACATTTAATACAAAACAAAAATGGAACAATTTTAAGACTACTTCTCTTGGAAAATACAAAGTTTTGCCTTCCTAATTTTCGTTCTAAAAAGATATAATTTGTATCATTGAATAAATATTTCTTAAAAAGAACGAAAAGTTAGGCATCAAAACTTGTATTATTTCCTAAATTCGTTCATAAGAAGTAGTTTTATCTAGCACAAGATGTATGTATGTACGAAGCAAAATGCATACGTATACACGCGGT